CAAATCGACCTTCTGAAAAGTGCAATGGGACACTAAATAAATTCCTCCTCACGGGACAAAATCTGATAAGGAAAGAGCAGGTGAGGCTACAGGGTCTCTGCTGGGGATCATGGACCATTCTGTAGCCAAAGTCTAGGTTAATTTGAATTCAGAATCACGTTTACTCTAGCCTGATTCATCAGCTGTTTTCACTTCGTAGAAACCGTCTGACCTCGTAGCATTAGGATTCGTTACTCGACGGTAAGTGGATACTTTTTTTAATTTAACCATCACTGCTATTTGGTCATGACGTATGTAATGCGCTGGAAAGCTCAGTGGTGTCCAAGTAACTGCCGGTACAACAGCAAACAAAGCAGAGAGCGAACATGTCTGCCAGTGATCATTGTTGTTTCTGCGAGATGAACTTAAGAATTAAGGTGCAATAAAAAATGCAAAATTTGTATCTGACAAAAGAAGTCCAAAGGAGGATAGTGTATGCAGTCTGCTATTGCAACTCAAGTTGTTTCAGCTCTTTGCTGATTGGCCGGTGCGAGGTCTACAACTCCCGGGGTTCTTGAAAACCGTCTAGTGTTTTCCGATTCCTGACCTAGTTGCTGGAGAAAAATGAAATGGAGTGGAGGCGCTAGGTGGCGCCAGCCTGGCTACCTTTACCCCTGGTTTAATCCTGATTTGGCTGGAGCATAAATTTGTAGTTTAGATCCTGTTATGACTTAATGGTGTACTATGTAACCGTTGTGGTTAAATAGTGAATGTTAAGAAGCCTAGAATGTTCCATGGTATGGCATTAAACTTATTTATCTCCATGGAGACAAGCACAAAATGCCACCAAGCCAATTTACTGGTCTAGTTTTATATTTGATCAATATTAGACTCATAATGGAATAAAGTGTAAATACTGTAGAGGCAGATGTTTCATACAGTCATACTGCATAGTACAAGCATTCACATTTTCATGTAGAAAGCAAATGGTGCACCTGCCTACAGAAAAGTTACAGCGTGCACCATTAAATATGAATAAATACATTGTGTAGGTTTATCCAGGTTTAGTCCTCAATTGATTTTAGTATATATTTTAATTCAGCCCTGGTTTTATATTGGTAGGCCTCTTACAGTAACAATTTTTGACGCACAACATACTGCTACAGAGAAATACTGCAATAAATGATAATACTGAAACTACTACCACTGACAGATAGGAGAATCCCAGTAAACCTATTACAACAAATAGCAGAATGAACCAATAATTACCCATAAAAGTTATTTATTCAACCATCTACAGCTCATATCTTATCATAGCACAGAAAAATGATTGTTGCGGCTTCCATATATTGAACGATAAGGCTGATAGAGTAATTATAGTGATAGGCTTATGGTTTAATGAAGATTCAAGCATTCATTTTTCACAACTCAACATTTTCTGAGGACCTTCTTCTGCCTTGTTTGTTGAAGTCTATGGTACAAAGACAGCCCTGACTTGCACTGCAGCCCTAATCCGTCTGCTTCACACTCCTCCTTCAGCCTGGGCATGTGCACCTAACAACTCCACTAAATGTACTCTCTGATCCCATCAACAGATTAAAAGCTACTGCAAATACCCACACATACCATTAGGAGCAACCATCCAACCTAACCAACCAACCAGAGAGTCGGGCATTAAGGAGAAAGCTAATCATTTAACCGGGAAGTTGTTTGCAATGCCAAGTTCAGCTCTGTGTGTGGGTGCAAAGATGGATGACATTTGTGGGGAGGCGGGACAGTGGGTGATTGACAGGTCTCATCTTCTCGCAGACATCAGGAAAGAGAAAAGGGGGAAAGTGAGCGGAAACGGGAAACAGCTCTCACTCAGCTGTCAGCCATGTTTGTTTTAGTGTCAGTGTCAAATTCAAGCTTTTCCAATGATAATTATAGAGCACCAAAAGGGAGAAGTTCATTTGTTTCATCGTCTGGATCTTCACTTGATTAAATGTATGTGAGTAACTATGGGAGACTGGTTAGTCAGGAAGGGTAAGTAAAGATTCAAATGTAAATCACACACTTGCAGGCAGATGTTTTATCATGTGACCCCGGAAAAATAAACCCAAATACAGTAGTAGTAGCAGTATAACAGCAATAACAGCAGTGATATTAGTGGTAGTGATTTAACAGGACAGAAATTCAATGGTAGCTCTAGGTTACAGTGGCCTTAACATTAACAATGAAATTAAATTAAACATGTTTTTTAAAGATATCAAACTGTTTAGATATCTGACAGACTTCCCGCTTATCATTAAACCGAACTGTTCTGAGGCCTCTGGGACAGTTGTATCTGATTACTGCTGCCAAAGCAGGAGATACTTCCTCTGTATGTGGACATGTCTGAGACAGTAAATGATATGATCACCACTTAGGAGCCTTTTATACGGCTGTACAGGCAAACACTCAGGTTAAAAGCATGTAGTAGCTTTCAATAAAAACAGCCAGGATCAATATATTAGTCTGACGTATGATATCTGGTAATCTTTTAAGATCTTCTGTTTTTAAACATTTTTGGTGGAAGGTCCACCACCTACTTGTCTCCATGAAGATGTAATTATGTCCCCTAAAATGTTTTACAGTTTGGCATTAAACATTAGCCTGATTCATCATCTGGTTTCACTTCGTGGAAACCGTCTGACCTCACAGCATTAGGATTAATTCGTTCGACGGTAAGCGGGTATTTTTTTCATTAAACCAATTGCTGCTATTTGGTCGTGACTTATGTAAAGCGCCTCTAACAGGACTAACTGGTATATTAAGCTTTTCCAAAATCTCGTAGGAAGAAGGGCAATAACGTCTTTCCCCTTGATAAAATTCACCGGCTTTAAATCCTCGATCTCGATCAACAACACACAATGTATGGCTCTTCGATGATTGGCTGGTGCCCGGACTTGCATTACCGGGGTTCTTGCAAACTGTCTAGTGTACTCCGATTCCTGACCTAGTCGCTGGAAAGAAATTAAATTGAGTGGAGGTACTGGGTGACGCCAGCCTGGCTAATTAAACATATCATCTCCATGGTGCGCAGCAAATGACGTCCCCATCAGGCCACGCTATAAGTCTGGCACAGAATGGATGTTTCTCAGTGTATTGTGTTGAGCTCCTGTAACTGAATACATTTTGATGTTATCCCGTGGAACATTCTAGACAACGTACATCTCACCAGGCTGCTAATACTACAAAGTATTTTGTATTTATTTTGCCCTCCATTAGCTGTGGAAACACAGAGATTCATCTGGAGTTACTGACATTCCACTTGAGAAGCCCTTCGCTCTAACGTGTGCTGTTTAAATAGTTTTCAATTACAGAATAAATATTTCTCTACAGATTCAGGTACAAATAAGAATATGCCAGACAATGCTACAATAATCCCATGGCAGGTCTCATGGCAGATGAATCTTATTTTTTCTCCTTTTTAAGTGAAAACAAACAAAAGTTGATATCGTTACCAGTTCTCTTCTATATAAAAACATACTTTCCCTAGGCCTGTATAATACATAATAACAAAAAGTAATTCAAAATCCTCTTGCACACTATTTGGGCTGTCAGAGTGCCTAATTTACTCATGTGGCTCATTATTAAATATGAATACCAAGCGCCGGCAGCACACAGTGAGAGTGTGAGCTGCGATCCGTGCGGTAAGGAGCATTATAATTCACCACGGGTACATTTCATCACATATACTTGTCAGGGAAACATGTCAGGGGCTATCTTCTCCTGCTTGCATGCAACTGGCCAGCTTCAGTCAGCACTTCATCCCAATGATAGATTCCAGATAGACATTAAGCTACAAAGCCCACGGTGTGCCAGCTCACCCCTGGGTGCCATAGACGATTGGTTTCGACCCAAGTTTAACAGAATTGGACATGGCAGGCAGAACTTGGTGACCCCATATTTTAGCAGGATCATTTGGCATCACAAATCAGCAGCAGCAGGCAGTGAACCAGGGGTGTAAAGTCAGACAAGCTGCAGCAATGTGGCTACTACGAGACGAGTGTAAAGTGTAAGTGTGGAAACAGACTGGGTGCTCGAAAAGAGAGGGCTGGTCACATTTGGTTGGTAAGTTATGTCATTGTATAGGAATGAGATGTGATGGTTGATGAAAAAATGTATAATAATTTTAGTCACAATTGTAATAAAATGTCTAAAAAAACATTGCAGAAAATGTAAAATAGGAGCTTGGCTGTTAAGTGAATGAAGAGAACTGAAGGAGGGGAGGGCGTGCCCTAAATTTGAACAGAATTATTTGGCATCACAAAGTCAGTGAACTATGGCTGCAGTGATATGCCTAAGGGATATGGCAAACTGTAGCTTTTGTTATACACGTGCTAACTGGGCCTATATCCACAAAAAATAGATGTGTGTTTCTTAAACAATCATACAGCCCTAATGATTATAAAGTATTATGATCAGTTATAGGCAATAAATATCTGCAGTTCATTGTATAAAAGACATGTCACTTACCATGTTGACTTCTGACACCATGTCTATGCTCGCCACGTCTATGCTCATGCCCACAGCAACTGGCGGACCTGAACACACACAAAAAAAGGGTGCAATAAATAAGAAACTTTGCGGGGACACTTTTGGGTGGGACACATCATGTGAAGAAGAAGCTTTGCTTACCTCCGAAGTCTGGCCGAAGTCTAATATCGTAGCCCTTCAACAATTTATCTACCGTCTCTTTGACAAAGGACATGTTCCCGGGCTCATTGACGCTGAAAAACAACAAAAAAAAAAGAACACTGATAAAAATTTTTGGCGACAATATCCTACTTCCTACTTTTGCGCTTTGGAAAAACTCCCCAGACAACAGACCCCGCCACTTCTCACCTCTGGGCGCAACACATCACCGCCACCACCAGCGCCACAGAAAGTACGTCCCACAACCCCGATCCCCCGCGCCTCCAGCCCGGCATCCCCCCTGTCTGTGCGAGCGTCTGAGTGCCGCTGGTTCCGCTATCCAGAGTTCAACAAATGCGCCAATGGAGAAGCCACGGTCCCGACGCGCTCCGCTAAATCAGGTGAGACGACTCGTTCCACATGGTGCCTTTCTCTAGTGCAGCGGACTCTCTGAACATGCTTCATCGGGCAGAGACGACAGTGCGTTACTTGTGTGGCAGGAGGGAGAGGAGCTCAGGGAAACTCTAGCGAGGACCTCAAGCAACGCGCTGGCTCCGTATCCCCATCCTCTGTTTAGTTTTCAGATTATATTAGCCTGTACTTCTCCATGACAGCCGCATTACTTTTTGTCACACGCCCTTTTCTGAGCTCTCCACACCACTTTAGCGCACAGAGACAGATCCACAGGTTCGCGGCAGGTGTGTGCGCATGCGTAAAACAACTTAAGAAACATTATAAGAAGTATTGCAATCAAGAAAAAACTTTAAATTTGTGTTTTTTCTATGATCATTCGTAATATTGGTATCCTATTAAGCCTATTTATGATATTTATGATCTGTTACTGTGTTTTGGTGCTGGGATTAACTTTCCATTATCGACAGTGAGTGTATCTAAATTAGCCCATAGTTGTTAAGAGTGGGTCCACCATCATTTTCCAGCAGCAAACTATGAAATTTCCTCTTGCAGGCAACACCACATTTTACTCTGTGTTCCTTACATAGTGTTTGTTTCCCTATAAGCATTAAACATGAGCTATGATGAACTCCTAATTATATCCATTCACATCACTCCAAAGGGCACCTCAACATCTTCAACTCTGCATTCTGTCCTACTTTCATCCTTCTTCTGTCTTCAAAATAAATGCATTTCCCCTATATACTGTATATACCCCCAGTGGAGAGCACAAGTTCAAAGGACCCAGTGGCAGTGGTAGGGTGTGGGGTGATCTGAGGTCATCATAAGGCATATTGAGTGGCACTTGACTTGCAGCTGGAGGGAGACTCAGTCATGTTGTATTTGGCCCCTGTCAAACCAGAGGCGTTCCTGTGTCACTTAAAATCCTCCTGCTGCTGCTCAGCTCTGCTCTGATACACTCTGCCACTGCACAGTGCATTATTCACATGTTCAACACACACATTTGTACTGGCACTTTGGCACCAGTGAACGGAAATGCTGGTAGTTTTGAATATAATGAAAGCAAGTGGTTTGTATTTGCAGTTAAAAGGCAATTATATGAGGTACATGACATGGAGATAAGGAGTGGTGTCTAACAATACATTAGAGTGAATAGAGTTGGGAAATTGGTTTGGAGTAATTAATAATATGAATAGTATTGGTGGAGTTGCATGCAAAATTTGAATATTGGGTATATTGTTCAAAATGTTGTGTAATTAATGTTGGATTGCCGAAATATCTTCTGATTATAGCAATAATAGCATCCTACCATTCTGTCTGAGTGGAGCGTTTGGCTTTTGTGCTTTCTTCAGCCACTAGTAGCCTCATCTATTGCTAAAATTGGTAGGACTGTCATATTAGTTGAATTAGAACCATTATGATAAATAATTGATTGTGCTAATCCTAATACAAAATTGTGTAGTCAAGATTATTAACTTTAACTTAGTCAATGTGCACATACACATTTCCTCGAGGGGAAAAGTTGCTCAAGGATTGTTGCTTTCTAGCGGAGTACATCGTGAGATGTGTCAGCTTTTGTTTTAGTTCACTTTAGGCGTACTGATGCAGAGCCTCTCTCTAAGGATCATTTCAACAATGGTGATTTGAATTATGTTTTCAATCATCTTAAATTATTTTCTCAATAATTAAGCAGCCCTAACTATTTGGGTTGACAGCTCATTATTTAGAAATGGATAGTCTTTGTTTTATTGTTTTATAGTTTTGTTTTAATAACTAGTATAATTAAAATCAGGAACAAAACTCTTACCTCGTATCATAGATTGCGTACAGCTTTTTGTTACCATCAACTGCATTCCTGCAAGAGAACAGAGGACACTTTCAGTTTCTATGACTCAGTTTAGATGTATACATTTCAGCCAAAACCCATAAAGATGCTGCTAAGGACAAAATTCTGAACAAGATTAATGATAGCGAGAGACAGGGAGTGGTCCTAACAGTGTTGTGCAGAATGATGAAACATGCTGCGTGTGTGCTTCTTCTGTCACAGACTGGGAGAGCTCGGATGGTAATGAAAGAGTTCAAGATGGAGATTTTGGAGGTTACTGACCAATTTAAGTCACAAAACACACCCCCAACTCCCTCACACACACGGCTACATACACACTCACTCTGATAACAGTCAATGAGTTTGCCAAGAGCCAACTCCATTTACCATGATGAAAAACAGCATCATTTGGTTAGATTCAACTATTTATCCACATAGGTCTCATTGGCTGAACTGGAAAGTATATTTATTTATGGTTACAAATGATTAAAACATTGTTACCCCCTCTTTTCTTAGATCACCTGCTCTGTACCAAATGTTGGACGTTCTTGCAAGAGGGTTATACAAAAGCAAATGGCAAAAAAAAAAAAAAAATGATAAAGCCGTATAATAATAATAATACAGTATTAATCAGTTTTATATAGCACTTTTGTGGACACTTAAAGACGCTTTACAGACCATTATTCATTCACTCCATCAGTCCGGTGGTGGTAAACTACTGTTGTACCCACAGCTGCCCTGGGACAGACTGACAGAAGCAAGATGGCCAGTCTGCGTCATTGGCCTCTCCCACCACCACCCTCACTCACGCACACAACACTTTTTAGGCAATGTAGGTAAAGTGTCTTGCCTAAGGACACAACAACAATTTTTGTGACCGGCGCTCCACTGTGGCACCTGATTTTCCCAGCGGTCTCCATCCAAGTACTAACCAGGCCGGGGCTTGTTTAGCTTCTGAGATCTGACGGGATCGGCCTTTGACAATCTGTTATGGCCACAGTATCACTAATATCTCATAGTAGGCTGCGTGTTCTCTACTGACCCCTTGTGGTTAGACTTAACTGTGGCCCTATCTCGCAGTGGAACACCATTTCCACACCATCTTCTAGAAACAGCCCACTTGAAATCTCACTCTCTTCCTCTCCTCTGTTCTCGCTACTCTGTATTGTGATATCTCAGATGTTTGCGTAGTTGTTGAGATCCCTCTTATGGCGGTCTTTATAACTACTATGGACCACTTTTCACTCTCCTCTCCTCCTCCTCCACCCCCTCCCATCTGTGCGCCTCTCCTCCGCTCCATCGCTGCTTGGATCTTCTTGGCTGCGTGACCACGGGCTGCACGCTGCTCTGTAAGAGAATTCGCACTATTTGGATACTCCCTCGGATTTGTTCTCCTTTTCATTTTGATTTCTTGCTAAGCTTGCTGGCTGCCGGTGCCTCCTGTGAGACTTGTCTAAATAGGATGTTCGGTCAGCACAAGTGTGGGGAATCGCTCTTTTTCCCTCACCAACCTTTTAATCGTTTTGGGCCAAAATAAAGCTCGCTGTCAGTGAATTTAGCCTCCGCTTTTTCGCGTCTCTTTTTCCGATACGCAATCACTGATGGAGGACCCGTCCCTCACGTTTGATGCCGAGAGGAACTAGCTATCATTAGTGCGCGAAGAGAGGACTAGAGAAGGAGAAGAAAACCCGCGGAGCTGCGAGAGGAGGAGGAGGAGAGAAGTTAGCGCATCGTCTTCTTGTGTGGTAAGCTTTCGACGCTTGTGCAGCAGAGCGGTATGGCACGGTACAGTGGCGAGATGCGCTGGGACGTGTGGGTAACGCAGTGGAGTGGAGTGTATCTAGATAAGCTGCATTGAGGAGACGAGGAGTGAAGACAAGAGAGGTGGGCTATGCACGCTTTTCTGACGGTAATAAATGAGATCTGAGTCATGAATGAGGGGGATGCGGTGCAGATCTGCGTTCACTTTGGCGAGGCACCGCGGGGATTTACAGTGCCGCTGCCGGTTTGAGCACATGTGGACTGGGACAATTATTATACGAGCCCGGCGGTGATGTAGATGGATGCAGGTAGAGTTTGCAGGGTTCTAGCTCAAGTCTGGAAGCCATGTTCCTGGGTTAACTTGAGGCCAGGGCGCGCTGTTTCATTTTTTTTTATTCAATTGTGCCTTGGTTTGTTTGGAACAAGTTACCCAAGTATGGAGGGCTTAAGGGCTTCCCGTTGTTCTTATATTGGTGGTATGGTGGTTGTGTGTGTGTGTTTTTTTTTGTATTATTTTACTTTAGACCTTGAAGTCTCTACATTTGATTGATGCAGTATTGATGATTTGTTAAATGGGGATTGAATGGACCACATAGGCTGAGACTTGTAGCCTATGCACCAATCTTAAGTTCTTCAGTCAATTAGTTCACACTTTGACTACATTTTTTTTAACCAGAAAATGATTTATTCTACAATGAGATTGATGGATCCAGTTAAATATATATATACCCTAGTTTATGCCATACACTCTTTACTTTATGTAGAATTTATGTAGCCATTTTGTCATTGTGCATCTCTAAGTATAACTTTGTATGCGTTTCTTTCTCTTATTGTCTAAACTTTGCTTGTATGGTTATTGCATTTCTTGATATCTTGTTATGAGGTGACTGTGGAAAGACCTGCTTTTTAATAGCGGTGCTTAATTTCATGCATAATCAGTCAGAGTAATTCAATCAAGCTCATTCTTGTATCAGATTTTCAAAGTGGTGGTGTCTGCTTTCAGGGATGGACAATGGAAAGAGCCTCTGTGCCGTTACAATGAGACAAGTGTGGATCTGTGCACTGCTTTTGAGCATCACCTGGCGATCGAGGTAAGAACTGACACCTGTCACCAGCCTCCATAGATCAGGACTAACCAGACCTGAGCTGAACCAGGACTAGAAATGGATTTATGGCTGTAGCAGGACTTACTCAAGAATAAAACAAGGCTGAATTAAGACTGATCATGAATCTATAACTAAATCAGAAATGAACCCTACTACCATATCCATGCACCAAAAGCCTAATGGGACTAAATAAGAAATGTATTTAAAATTTATTCAAACCTGGTCAAAAGTCTGGCTACACTAGGCAAAAAGAAGAGCTGAACAGCAGGAATTCAAATTACTCTCTGTATACCAGGTCTTATCCGAGATATAAAGCACTCATTAATATGTATTGTCTCTAAATGGGACAAAACATATTCAATCTGGACAAATACAGGTCTAATCTAGTTCCAAATGGGCACTCCCTAAGGACTAAACCAGGTCTAAACTAACTGAATAAAACTGTCTCTCAAAAGTTGTAATTGAATTTGAAACCTCAATAGTTAAAGCCTCTTGAGCACCAAAAATGGGACCTATTCCATAGTTTTGACAGCACCCTCTTACAGGCTTAATGGCGTGTCGTTTAAAACATAAACACCATTCTGTTATTAGACTGTATCTTTTATTATATACACTTTATGGCTTCGTCCTTGAGTCCAAAGTCGTAATCACTGCCAACCCCTTTCTTTTCCTCCCTCTCTTCCTCTCCCTTTCTTTCTCTCCTCTTTCTTTGTGTCTTGTGCAGCCTCTCGCAGGATCTAGCAGGAAGTGCCAGTGAGGCCGAGATCAATAACAACATTACCATATTCACTCGCATCCTGGACGGGCTGCTGGATGGGTACGACAACCGACTCCGCCCCGGACTTGGAGGTAAATGCCCCAGAAACAAAGAACGCATAGGTTGTTTTCAGCATTCAGTATCCGATGATGCCGGTGTATTTCTCCAATGGGGGTAGAAGCCTCTGGTCTATCAGTTATAATACAGTATTTTTTCACAAGATCCAGATGAAAAATGTTCAACCTAATTATTTTTTATAAAAGAAAAGGTTCATTATTCCAATATCTTGCTATGAAAGTCAATTAAAGATGGCAAGGCACTACCAGAAACTCAAAAATTCCACTATGGATTCTATGCTATATTTATAGCTAATCCAAAATCATTATTATCTCACAAAATCCGCTGATATACATTAGTGATTTTGCTTGGGCCTCATCTCTGTTATACTCTACAGGCCTATAGAACGCTGCGTTGTCAGCTGAAACCAAGCAAAACAGTTACATCTAAAACACTCAGGTAATTAGCACTGCTCCATTTATGCCCAGAGGTAAGAACACATTGTGCTGGGCTAAAAATGTAAAACTCTAAGGGGAAGGTTGTATGTTAAGCTATAGGTGGATTAGAACATGGTCCATGTGTTTAGATCACAACAATGTAAAGGATTTATTCATGGGTTTCAGTTATAAGCGACATTTTGACGACTTTATACTATCTTGTTTTAATGTATTCATCGCAATGGTAATAGTCCTAATTATCCATCACTCTGAAACCTTTGGAAAATGTACTATTGCCACTATTATAAGAATATATATTGTAGGGAGGGCATCTGGCATAAATTTTTGACTACAGATGAAATTATGAAATACACAAACAGAGACAGAAGAAACTGCATGTATTTATATTAGGGGTGTAACAAAAAGCGAAATATCGTGATATCGTATTGTCAAAGTTCTTACAATAATTTTGTGGACCATCACAATATATCGAATTACAAGTCTCTTTGCTTAAATTAAGACAAAGGGAACTACATCGACCATGATCGTTTGCTCCATTTCAGTGTAGACTATAAAAAGAAATAACAGTTCTAAGCACTTTTAAGTCTTCGTTCTTTGGATTAAGTCTTGTCAAGACAATTTAAGAGGAAAATGTAACATATTAACAGTTTTGTTAGCTTCCACAAAATATCTCAATAAATATCGTACAGTGAGATTTAAAGCGTGAAAATATCAAACCTAGAGCTTTGGATATTGTCACATCCCTAATCGTGAGCCTTGCCACCATGTCTTGAGTTTTCCCATGATATTGCTATAATTATCGTACCATGAGGTTCATACCATGACGATATCGTATCGTGAGACTTGGATGTCGTTACACCTCTAAAATTTTTATATAATATGGCTTGTTAGGATTCTTTCCACCAGAAAATTTGTGACTTTGTGAGCTATTCTACAACTTTATAGCCAATCTATCAACATTTTTAAGTTTAGCAACTTTAATTTATGGTCTGGATGAGATGTTTCTGATTTCATATTTGCATTCCACAAAGTCTTGATTTTATGTACCTGCTGTCCTTTTAGGGATCAGAAAAGGAGAACAGCTGTTGTGTTTTAAAATGATACGACATCAAAATGCCTATCCAATCCAGTTTTACATCTAGCACCTTATTTTCACCTTCCCAAAAACCATCTCACAAGACCAAAGATGACATGTATTATCATCAGACCTAGAAGTCTATATGTAGAACACTGCTCCCTGCCCTCATTCATTTAGCAGTGGATCTAAATTTATCCCGGCCTGTGACAAAGACATGATCACCTGTCAGGACCTCCTAAAGATGATTTAACATTACCATGGTGACCACATCTGCAGTCATGACCTTGAAGGAGCCATTTTTCCTCTCCATTTAACACCGACTCAATTGTTCCCAGTTTGAAAAGGGCACAAACTTGTGAGCCCTCAACATAAAGAGGGGATGTGGCTTTGTAATGCCTGTAATATTAACAGGGGGTATGTTGGACTTAGTTTTCTACTGACATTTTGCTGTGTACGGTGGTGTGTGGGTGCATTGCTTGTCCTGCAGATGTTTGTCCTTTGGGGCTGACAGCTCTCTCTGGTGCAGGACGTTAGGAATGAGCTATGAATGCAAAACACATTTACAATGGACTTAGGCCTCCTCTGGCTCAGGACAGATCATAAATAACTCACCAGTGCAATGAAAGGAAAAGTAGGAACTAGAAAGTGCCAACAAAAGTGCCAACAAAAGTGCCAACAAGAGAAAATGTTTTACTTTTGAGCAAGTCAAGTTCAGGTGGCAAGATTTATTGTGCTTCACTTACAACTGCAACTAAAATCACCTTTAATGAGATGATGACCTCAAATGAAAAGGCTATTGTCACTCTCATTTTTTTTAATATGTTAAAGCAGCAAATACCAAATTTTCAAACCCAGAGGCATTTAAATCAAATGAACTGATTCCTTTCTTTCAAGAACTCTTAGGCACATATTGTTAGAACAGTTTTTTTTTTTCATCCATGAAGTGAAACTCAAAGTAAAACAGAGGTGGACCACCAAAGCACAACCAATCCGCAGCCATTTTGCACTTTGCAAGCTGATCTTCCTTCTGGGTTTGCAATCAATAAAATACTTAATGCCAACAGTATTGCTTTTACACTATAAACTGTATAGTGAAAAAAACTACATTTGCTAATTTACAAAAATAACCTTGGGTATCACACCGTTGATTTTGTCTCTGAAGATTTGCTGCTTGCAATATTTGTCATAAAATGCTCTGAACTATCATTCACTGCCCAAATCCAGTATTTCTGGTCTTTTTTAATGGTATCAGCTGCCTAGCAGTGAAGGGTCATTAATCATCAGCACTCTGTATCTCTCTCATTTTCTTAAGAGCCCTGCTTTGTGTGCAATATTTGTGCATCCTCCACAGAAGAAGAAAAGGGCTAATGAAATACAAGTCATTTGAGTTTGTGTTTGAGTTTGTGCTCATTCTGTGCTCAGTGCTTTCTAGGGATGGGAATAGCTGCTGGACAATGAGCTGTTAATTGGAGCTCATAATGTAACAGGCAACACAAAAAAATGTTTTAGTGAAACATTCTTATTTTTACAGTTCTCAAAAGCACTGTTACCACGAACAATTATTAATTTTCATTAACGCTGACGCTTAACATAATGTCATGTAGGTAATTATTATTTTGTGGTCCAGTCTGAAGATGGTTGTTATTTATTGATTACACAAAGTAAAATGTTGAATTTTTCATGTTTTACAGAAAAAGTCACAGAAATCAAGACAAACATCTTTGTCACCAGTTTTGGTCCAGTATCTGACACTGAAATGGTAGGCGCCTCCTTTAATAATAATAATGTTGTTGTCGTATTTAATAACAGCTATTTGTCTATGCAGTTCTTAGTGAGTTATGATATTGTGCTTTTATTATATCTACAATTAAACTGAGCTAACAAACTAAGAGTCTTTAAATCTTGCATATAAAAACATTTGTGGTTTTGTCTCTTAGGAATACACCATAGATGTGTTCTTTCGTCAGAGCTGGAAGGATGAGCGTCTGTGTTTTAAGGGCCCCATGAAACAGCTGGCTCTCAACAATCTATTGGCCAGTAATATTTGGACCCCTGACACCTTCTTTCTGAATGGAAAAAAGTCCATTGCCCACAACATGACCACACCCAACAAACTTCTGAGGCTGAATGAGGATGGGACGCTGCTGTACACCATGAGGTAATCACAACTTTACACTATATTATATACTTTTCCTATCAGTGAATAGGTTTCAGTCTTGTTTTGTCATTACATTCAATAAGGCATACGTTCTTGTCATGTTCTGCAACCGTTTGAGTCAGTAGTCCTTTTATTACCAAAGTTCTGCAACATCATAAAGCTTGTTAGTAGATGATATAGAGGGAATCTAGTCAAGGGTGTAGCATCAATTTCTGGGCCCTGAGTACAAATCATCTTGGTGGGCCTGCACTACATGTTGTCCAATAAAAAATGCACATTATACACCCCTCTTTGCACTGGGCCCTGGGTTAACAGTACCCTTTATTCCCCGCAGTCCAACTACAGCTAATACAAATGCTGGTGTAGAACTGTAAACTATGTCTTATCTGCATCTTTTACCAGACCAATAGCAACAATCTGATAATATTTTACTATTCCATCTCAAATGCGTTCCATCCTCATGAACTTAAAACATAAGATATAAGGTTTAATGTGTCTGTCAGCACAAGGCAAGCACACTGACATGATTTATTGATTTATTAAAGCCACAAGATTACAATTTCAAATTTGTGGACTCATCAAAAAAAAAAAATACACCTCAACATTTGTGGATTTTCTGTAGGTAACCAGATACTAAAACTGTGGTTATTTTCATTTCTGTTATGATTTCACTTATGTTATTATATGTTCCATTGTATAAGAATGTAAATTTTTACTTGCCCAAAATAAATGCATACAATAAAAAAATATAAATAAAATAGTAACAAAACTAGACATTTACAATCATTGCTTGTATTGCTACTATAAAAAGACACATATGGACAAAAGTAGAACTTTCCCGAATAGTTTTGGATTGATTTGGAACTATATTAGAAAAAAATAGTTCAGAATCACATGGTTATATGACAGAAAATACTATTTTGTGTAAAAATAAATCTATTGTTTATTATTGTTGTGTCAGAATGCCTTGGTATCCCTTGGTATCGAAATGCGAAACTTTACTATTGTGCCAACCCTACTGTAATGTCATCTGAACCCTAAACAGTACACACTTACAGTGTCTGTTTGGTAATGTAGCCCACATGCTTTGACACTGCGTTGCACAAAATGGAGGGTTGAGCGTTTCACATCGACATCAGTCACTGTTAAACATGTCTGTGAGTCGCCGAAACCTTTACTTTGCTCCGTGGGTGCATGACCTTTTCCTGCTTATTACCACGTCTCCTCTCAATCACACTCCAGTTAAATGTTTCAACACCACAGCTCCAATAGCACCCCCAGTCACTCCAGCCGCTGGGCTCCTCTGTGTGGGATGGACCCTTACTGTGCTCAGGCTGATCATGAAAACACTGTAGCGTCTATTGTCTAAAAGTGAGCTCAATATTTTACGTAAGTGATTTTTTAATTCACTGGGTCTAGGGCAATTATTGTAATATCTGTAGTTCAGTTTGGACTGAAAGCCACAATATTCAACAATAAATATGAAAAAAAATTCAGTATTAAGTATTTTGCACCCATTACAATTGTAAAAGTAGTGGTAGTAGTATTAGTATCAGTAGTTAATGTTGCACTATGCACATTTTTGGAGGCGGGTCTGCCATCCGCTTTGCTGCATGGTAATATTATTGCTTTGCCTGGAAAGTTACACAGTGTGGCATTAAACTCTATATCTCCACAAAGACAAGCAAGTGATGCAACCGGGTCAAGTTACACGTCAGACGCGTGAATAGGCGAGTGACTGTACAAATGATGTAAGATAGATAGATGTATAGTTATACTGTGGAACATTCTAGGCAAATCACTAAAGTCTCCATGGAGACAAGCAAGTGGCAGACACCCTCTAGAAAGTTACCTTTAATTAGCTGCATATTTTTGTGAAATATTTGTACTTCTTCTCAGGTGCATTTTTCTTAAGAGTTAATATTACCAGGCCACTTCAAACTATGTATGAAGTTTTATTTGTGCACTAATTGTAATAGGTCTTCTTGGTTAAAATTTGAGTAGATTTGTTCATAGTTTAGATTGAAACAACTGTATATTTTTGCAGTGAATTCAGCTGCCTTTTTCACTTTCATCAAGCGAGAAGAGCACCTCATTTACATCTCTGTTATTTCAATGCTGTGTCATCATCTTATCAGCTCTTTCAAAATCAAATGTTCACACAAGACGCCAGGGGAAATGCACTGTCAAAAACGCCTATTGATCTCTAAATTGTTACAAATCTACCACACTACAAGCCATTAAAGCAAGCGCTCTGTGGTCGCTAATGGGAGTGGAGTTATTAGAGACATTTATGCATGCATTACTTTACCACTATGGGACTTCCACAGTACAAGCCCTGGCCATTGTACCATGGAATTGAGTGAGGAGAAAGAATGAGTTTCGATCCAAGATACATTTCTAAACTCAATTTTAAGCAATTGCACATCAGTGAAACTAGTGTAATTTGTTGAAACATCCTGAAGATCGTATCTATGTAAAACAATATGATTTCAGCTTTAGGCAGTCATTTGTCTTGTTGTCTCTCTGTCCTTATTGGCTGCTGTGATTTATTAAGGAGCATGTAAAAAGCATTCACCTTCACTAATTAATGCTGCTCAGATAGTGCCTGTACTCTAAGGAGCCCACCTTCAAACATCTGCTGATACTAAATAAATATTGTGCTGATGTGAACAATGCTCCGTAAACACTGGACGGAGGTGGAGAGGCAGACAATTCTGGCACTACACAGCATAAGTACCGTTACTTTAAAATAATAAACACACCTGATTTATAAAGCTACACATCCACCCAACATACTGTACATTTAAATGTTTTCTTTGTAAAATCTACTACTACTGCTATTATTACACATTTTACTACTACTACTACTACTACTACAAATACTGCTGCTGTTATTGCTAGTACTGCAACCACTAATATTACTGTTTAATAGCTCTAATTAAGACTATTTGAGGGAATACTTTATGATTACTATAAATTACTAAACACACAGAGACCTAAAGAGGCCTAGCAATTATGGGTATTATCATGAGCAGTATTAGGATACTACCCTCTACAAATCAGATGCTAAAATGACTATGCTGTCCATTTTTTCTGATATAGAATACTGCAGAACATAGAAATAAAAAACCTTGCCTAATTTGATTATGGCACCAATTGGCCACAAGAGGGAGTGTTCCACCCAAACAGTCCATAGCAGTAAAAGGCTGATGATACAGGATAACACATCACTCTTGAGCACACTGTACATGATAATAGTCCTGTATGCAGGATAACAGACTGTGTCTATCTTTACCCCATAGTGTAATCCTGCTCTGAATGTGTGGAGGAGAGTGGGGCAGAGACAGAGGGGCAGATGGCGTCACTCACAAATCCCTCAGAAGAACTGCATGCAATCTTACGAGCACTTTCTCTCACCACTAAACACATCCCATAGACTTTTCTCATTGAAAATTGTATATAGTTTTTATGGTTGCTTTTACTTTGTAGTAGGTGCAGTGTTCCACAGTAGGGCTTAAATTATCTTGAGTTTAGTCAGTTACAAACCTTAAACTGCATTAATACACATTTAGTCTGGACAGGCTTTTCTATCCATAGATATGACCTCTAACTAGGTTGTGTGGTGTTTGCGTGTGTACATGGACACAGATACATTAAATGCCATACTGTGGAACATTCCATGCAAAGCAATAATGTATCTGACAAGCAGGGGACAAACCCTCCATCTGAAAAATTACATACTGTAGCTTTAAATAAAAATCTTAAATTATTTCCACATATTCTTTATAAAAATTGCACCAGTGTATTTGATCATGTATTTTGTAGCAAGATGAATTTTCATAACCCAAACAATAATAATTATATATGTATATATGTATTAAATATGTATTTATTTATTTTTTTAATCTAAAATTGTATGTTTACATTTAAAGTCAAACTAAATTAGACAAATACATCAAAACATATCACTATCCTCAGATTCTCTTTTAATAGCATAATATACTGTGCTGTTATGCTCATTCAAGATTCAACAGCAAATTACTACTTCCAAAAATACATCCATGGATATAAACTCTTAAAAATTAACACATAAAAATAAGCATCTGACTACTCAGTTTTATTCCACAGAAATAGAGTAAGTGCACAGATGCTGCCAGCAGAGGGCACCCTAACACAAATGTATAAGCCTGCTTCAGTCTATCCCACAACGAGGACCAATTTATTTTGTTTTCTCCCAAATCACGGTGCTATTTTGAAGTGCTACAAGTAGATGGCAGCCTTACCCCGTTAAAATATTTGGCTGCTTTTCCAAACCTCCTCCCTGCTCTCTCATATAATTTTTCCTCTGAGATCCCACAGCGAGTCCCTCTTGTGGTTCAGTTGCTTATTGCTCACTTCTGGGGTAAATTGCACTTTAGCCTGTCGTCACAGTAATGAAGACAAACTACTGTATTCGAAGCTCTGCGGCTGCACACTAAATTGAGCACATGTAAATGAAACAAATGAGTTATAATCAAGGGAAGCACCAGTTTGAAGCAGTGATCATGTTGCTAATGGAAACGATGATAGTGCCTTATTGAGTTCAAACAGGATAGTTTATGTTACACTTTTATATTGTTAGTGGTTAATTTTAATTTGTGTCAGTTGTGTAAAGTAATTGAGATGTCTTTTTTCAGGCTAACCATCTCTGCGGAGTGCCCCATGCAGCTGGAGGATTTCCCTATGGATGCCCACGCTTGTCCACTTAAGTTTGGGAGTTGTGAGTCAGTTTTCCCTATTTTCAAAAATAAGTAATTTTCTTTGGCACTTAACCACATACCCTTTTATCTTTCATTTGTACGAAGTTTACAATACTTGATATTAGGTATTCTTTAAAACAAAGTGAACATATAATAGGGGTGTAACGATATCCAAGTCTCACGATATGATATTGTCACGGTATACATCTTACATGATATTTTGTAGAGGCTAACATGCCTTGACAAGACTTAATCCTAAGAACTAAGACTTAAAAGTGCTTACAGCTGTTATTTCTATTATCTATTATAGTCTACACTGAAATGGAGCAAAGGATCATGGTCTGTGTAGTTCCCTCTGTCTGTTTTTTTAGCTATTGCTGCACCATAACTATTCATTTAAGCAAAGAGACTTGTAATTCGATATATATTGTGATGGTCTACGATATTATTGTGAGAACTTTGACGATATTTTTGTTATTGTTACCTCCCTAACCTATAAGTGACTCTTCAAAAACATTATAAACTGAAGTATATTAAGAGAGGTTTTGTAATCCATTCATTGATTAGACTAATCCTTTCTTGACATCTGATGCAGTATTTTTTTTTCTAGTTTGAATCATATATAGGACCAAAGAATTAATCAAATAAGGCTTGCAATTTGTAGAATTATCACATCACAATGGCTGAAATTATTTTTGGTATAATGCAATGCCCTCTTCTTTTTTATCTTTATGCACCTGGGGGTGTTTAAAATGTGCACACATCTGAAACCAGACTTGAAAACATAAATTGCAAACCTAATCTCAGTTGCAATTTGTACTTCATATTTATTTTTTTTTCTGAAATTGTGTGCACTACCAGATATTGGTATTGGTTCATTATAAAGTGTATGGGTGTACATTGCACAAAGACACATGGTAACTCTGATTTTACTAATGATAAATCAAAGGTATTACTATTTTTTGATCTGTGTTATAATGTTGTTTCCTCATCACTCATTTCTCAAACAGAAACCACCATTCCACCTTGTGATGTCATGTGGCAATACAGGAAGTGCTCTATTGTGTTTTAAACTCCATACACCTGCACTAGAATCATTTGGATTTCAACCCTGGAATCGCAAATCTCTTCAAAACAGCTAAAAGGCAGGTGATAACTTGTAAATCAGCAGTACATGATATCACAAGGTGGGACAAAGTTTTGGAGTAATAATGCAGGATTACTCAAACATGCATGAATGGAATAAAACACAATTCCAGGTCTGTTTTTGATGAGGTAACAACATTATAACGTGGCTTTGGTTTTAGGATCTTTTAAGATGAATTACAAACACAAACCTAAAGGCTGTAACATTGATCAGGAAGTGCAGGAAGTCAGTGTTGTTCTTTGTTATTGTGGCCATTGATGTGAACATAATGAAAGTGAAGTAATTACCCTGTATACGTCCTCTATGCTATGGTTCACCTTGTCCAGTGGTGGTGGATGTGTGTCCCTCAGGTGTGGGGCAGACAGCAAAGGAGCAGCCTGTGACACTGGGCTCCTGATTAAACTATTCATCATTATGTCAGCTCCACTCTGCTGCATCCTCCTCTGCACCACATTAGACAGGAAATACACACCTATAGGAAACCAAGGTAACACCTGCTATATAGGGCCAGTAGTGTTGGTAAACAATTTAGAGTAGAAATGACCCCTGAAGAAGGTTGAGACAAAAGACTGCCTTTTAATAATAGATCCTAATTTAATAATGGATACTAAATAAAAGTTTTCTGTATGTCTTTATATCCTCACAAGCTCTTGTTCCCATGAACCAAAAAGTATTGTCAATTATTTGAGCAATACTTCCTTGGGTATTTGTGCTTTCCAAATGCTCACATTATCTATTTGAAATGTGCCTTTGCCACCGATCAACTTTATAAATAACACAATTAACTTATTTGGTATAAAAATGTCTATAGTCTCTACGATTTGGGACTCAGGTCCGCTCCAACTATAAAGCTGTGTGTGTTTATAGTGAAATTATGATGAAAAATTGGACTACTGTACCAGTGATATGTTCATCTTGATCCTTGTTGACTTTTTAGACATTTATAGACTTAAACTGCCTCTTTTACAACTTTGAGGCATCTTCAGTTATTTTTACTTGATAGATGGATTATCAAACCAAAAAAATAATAATAAAAGAAAATATCTCCTCAAAGTCTTACTTAATATGCCAAAATACTCTCCCATCATTTGGTAAGTTATTTCTGTAGCCAGAGCTCTTGGGGAAGACTGACAGTAGTTTGGCCGCCAATATGTGCCTACAGATCACCTCCACCACATTCAGACAAGGCAATGTGGGTGAAGTGTCACTATTGTTTTATCAGTGTTAAGTTAAGTTTTCATCTAAACACATCTCATTTACTATTTGCTTTAAAATGATTAGTATTTCTGTAAATACATTTTGCAGACCCAGTTTCTTTAATTATCTCATTATGAAACTGTTTACTCCCACACACCTCCCTTTAGTGTCCAGTCTTCCCTCCACCCTTTAAGCTAGTTAGCTTGCCTGTCACCGTGAGACTAAAATACCTAGGGAGCTCCTGTAGCGCCAGCTTAAGATTAGCTGGAGGTCCTCCCTGTGACGTGCTGATGGCTATCTCTGACTGAGCTGCTGGAGCCAATGGACAATACACTAAAGCAAAGGCATGTGTTTAAAGGGCACAAGTACTTCAACTTATCATTACCTGAAGTACTTATTATTATTATTATTTTAACTGATTTGATTGATGTCCTTTTAGTTGTTTATAAAGAAACACAGGTTTTACATTTTCAGTCGTTCTAGTCACATTGGCTGATGGATTATGTTTGAGCCAGATCATCTTAAAAATACAATAAAGGTTCTGTGTATAGACTAATGTGTAATGAAATAACAACACATATTTATTCTGTGAATGTGTTGTTGTTTTATTACACATTAGTCTGTACACAAAACATTTATTGTATTTTTAAGATGATTTTTTTATGAGTAGAGTTCTAGCTTTGTCTGCATTTTGTGATAGGATTACTTACAGTATAAAGTTTATGTCAATCCTAAATTCATTGTGAATATTTTACATGTTTTGGCAGTGAAAACACACATGCAAAATAGCATAACAAAATATACTAAAAGAAATGACTCTGTTGGCTAAACATTCACATAGACTTAATAGATTGCCTGCCTTCAGGGGTAGAGTGTCCAGTGCCACAGAGTCACTCCCACTGCGCTCTGAGAATCTCTGAGCATCACTGAGCATCTCTGAGCCATCAGTGATAAGATCAGAGATAGAGTCTGGGATTTGGAATCCAGCCAAGTTGATAAAAGTCCTTCACATCAATTAGACAGTGCTTAAAATACAAAGGTCATTAAATACGTCAAAGAGTTTCTATCCGTATAGTGCAATGGGTTACAGTGCATTGTGACATGAAGGATTGTATGAAACTATTTACCTTTTTTAAAATGCTCCTTATATAATTTGATTACCAAATGGTACCAAATTGCCAAATGACAAAAATCCTAAATCTTTCATGTGATCTCTAGTAAAGCCTGCAAGGCTCATCATTTATTAATTTTTCATTAACTTATCATTCATACATCTGACCAACATATAGTCCCAGGGATGATCATTCACAAAGGGCCATTTTAGAGTCACCATTTTATCAGTTCACACATATATATATATATATATATATATATATATATATATATATATATATATATATATATATATATATATATATATATATATATATTATATTATATATATATATATATATTTTTTTTAATGGCAGAACAACACACTGTAAGACCTTTAAAGCTCAACTCTAAAGCGACACACCCCGTAATCTCGCTGAGAGCAGTAGCCACTGCTACCGGGCCAGACAAAATTATAGTGATTTGTTATCTGACAATGCATATCCATTACACACTATCATTATGGTTGCCAGATTTTGACCAGATTCTCCATAGATTCTCAGATTCTTTACCCTAGAAATACAGATGAAATTGAATACGTTATGTCAAATTACGAAAGAATCCACCACTGTGCGCATACCCTTGTTTAAAATTGTCCCACGGAGTTTCCTGTTTCCTGTTGGCTCCGCCTGCATTAACCCTGGCTAATCCGTTGACCTAATGGACAGCACTCAGCATGAGCTGAGGCTTTAGGCTGTGTCAGAGCGGCCCTGCGCCGTGTTAATCACCTCTGTGTTCTTCAGCCGCAACAAATGTCTCACTGCTCACTCACAGTGGGCTACTGCCGATACTGTATGTCATGCAAATACTAACATCATGCCACCATAGACCACCTGTGTACACACATGCTACTGTTTATTCAACAATTATGTAAAACTACTCTGCTTTGCACAGCCTGATGTCTCACTGCTCACTCAGTGTGTCACCATACACTACCTGTGTACAGCAGTGACAACCCCCTAAGCGTCTCACATTCTGAACACCACCTATATAGTGTACCATGTTTTTTTTTTAGTAGAGGGGTCTCTAACTTTTTTCTCTTGTGCGCTTCCTTTACAAAAACAAAAATCCCAGAGTTACTAATTTTAGTGGTCACAAGAAAATGAGTGTATATATGTATAAGAGCCACAGCAACTTTTAGATGGGGTACAGTTGGAAGCTTATAAAACTATAAACCATTATCCTTTTATTAGTGCACAAAGTTAAACATCAAAAGGATTTACAATTGTAATGGGCATTTTGTTAATCAAATATTAGTTATTCAACACAATACATATAATTTATAAATCCCTTGGTGAGCTACTTAGAAGCGTAGGGCTGCTGGTAGCTTCCGAGCTACAGGTTGGAGACCCCTGTTTTAGTAATTATAAATCTGAGAACTAGTGAATCAATAGTAATAATATTTTCTTGTTTTAATTAAGGATGGTTTATGAGTTATTGGTAGTATTGATGATATTGGAGGATGTTCACATGTCGTAAATTTTAGCCAAAATTTTTGACCATGGCTCATGAGTGAAAATATGATTTATAATATCCCAGATGTATGTATATATGTGTGTGTGTGTGTGTGTGTGTGTGTGTGTGTATATATATATATATATATATATATATATATATATATATATATATATATATATATATATATATATATATATATATATATATATATATATATATATATATATATATATAGGCCACAACGACAAGACAGTTATTGGATATCGGTGTAGGCAAAAAAATAAATACTATCCCTAGTTTTAAATCATATTGATGTTCAAAATGATCCTACAGCCTAATGTCAGGGATTTAAAATGTACTACAACAAGCATTCATTATTTAATTTCACATTTCCTTGAAATCTAAAATCGTTCCAAGTTCCCCCTGTCATGTGCTTGCATACTCCCATAGGCCCCTATATCCCTGTTTGGGAAACATTGGTGTTACTAGACATGGACGACTACACTGTTTAGCACAGACAAGCAAAATGGCTAGCAATATTAGGCCTACATGTAATTAGCTATGAAAAAGCAAGTAATGTGTAAAGCGGTGTTATATAGTTGTTCTAACCAAGGATTAAACCAAATCCAAACTGCTCTGTGTGTCAATATTCTCACCATGTCTACAGTATTGCAGAATTACAGGACTAAACCATGTTCTAGACCAGAACTAACCAAAGGAAGGGCAAAAATATCGATACAATACAACAGCAAAACATGTTACATTAACTCATAATTCATTCACTCTTCAGGTACAATAAGTGGCGTAAAGTAATATTTCTATAGCTCCAGATGTCTCCTTTAATCACACATGCATTTATAGGACACAACAACAATATACATTTCCGGTAGGAGGCTAAAACTCTCCACCTTGTTTTTATTTTAACAGATTTCTCTACCAAATGACTCACTAAGCTTTTACTGTACATTTTTGTTCAGTATTCAGTTTCACCCTATCACAGCATTTGTGCAGTCGCAACCAAACAAATGATCTATGTTTCCATTTACATCTAATGATAGAAATGATGGAGAGGAGACATAAGCATGTGTTTTTAGTTATGTTTTGAAATCCTTGACATATTACTCATGCAACAAATGTTTCTTGAGTCAAAGAAGCAAAAGCCTGCTGCTGCTGTCAGCTGTTCACAGTGCTGTGAGACAATGTAGTGTGTTGCAGTATAATCCAGACTAGTTGACTGGGGTCATTCTAAATTGCAGTGGAGCCTTTAACACTGGATTAATGCTGTTGTTTGATTGGACAGCACTCTGCAATACAACACAACTACACATTCACCACTACAGTAAATGGAAAGTAGTTTTTATTTGAGTATTTTACAAAGACAGGCCCTCAAAGAAATGCATTAATGTATTATATTTACATTGACACTTATAACTAATCCCAACTCCTCCATAAGCAACACATTAATCTGCAAAAGGCTTTTCTAGCACAGTGTTAGCATTCACACATGCTGCGCATGGTCACCAACATCTGTATATTGTGATTACATGAGGCCCAAACAGCAGCGCTCTTAGCACTGACACCAACTTAATCTGGGTGTAATGAAGCAAAGTGGGGGAAAGGTCAAGTGTTGTGTCACTGCTAACACCACCGCTATTTAGCTTTAGCAACAGAGACACCTCCTATAAGAGGAGTGTGCCTATGATCCCACAGCCATGTTTTGTCACATTTACAAGATATAATCCATAATTTCTTAACCTTAACCAGAATCTTGAAACCAAGACCTAACCTTAACCATTACTTACGTAGAGCCACTCCCGATATGAAATCATGTAAACATTTTTTGACCATATTTGGGTTGACACTCTCATTTGGGAGGTCTACATCACAAATCTTGTGTGGCATTATTAATGACTGCAATTATTGGCATGCTGTAATTTATCACCCTCACTTCTGTTCAGTCAACCTCTGCTGAACAACCACACAAAACATTACAATAGCAATAATTATGTAATTAATTGCAACCTTCCTTTTACAAAGCCAATTGTCTGAGATAGTGACTTAGTCTAATCTGTGCTAAATGCATCCATCTTACATTTCTACTGTATTGACCACCAGTCTGTGGCCCTCAGTTGGTCTGTCGCTTCATTGGTCCATCAACACCATATTATTCATGTTAATTATATAATAATTTGAGCTGTAGGCCTTTAGTCGTTTATTTGATTGGTCAGTGAAGTCATAATCGACCAAAACTTGTGTTAGTTTACTAATTATTTTATTTAGAAGACTTGTATAGTGTGAGTTAGCTGATGATGAATTCACATGCAGTTGTAATCTTTTGAGTGTGCTTTGGGTCACATCATAATAGTTTATATTGCCTTTCCACACCCTGCTTTATTTGACTATAGTTGGTCGAGGTCATCTCTTTAGATGGCCAAGAATTTCTTTACTACATCCGTAGTAATCATTAATACATTATTTTATTATTTTTTAAAGGCAGTGATTTATAGTATATAATGAAGACATATAGTATATAATGACAAATAGACATAGACTTGGAATTTGTTGAACGCAGTTTTACAATTAGAATAACCATATTGTTTTACAACATATCACTGATGGACATAATTACCCTGGTTGATGCTACTTGTACAAACCTTTTTGTCACTTAACTCTTCCCACTGAGACATAATGAGAGTGACAACACAATGATTCTGAGGTTTTTCATTTATTATAGCTGTTACTTCCCTGCTCTCAATTTCTCTCTATATTAAATTTGCTGAATGCTGTCAGAGTAAAGTAGAGCTCTCGAACAAATATGCTTTGCTCACAGATGCATACCCGATCTCTGAGGTGGTCTACATTTGGACAGAGGGAGCTGCAAAGTCTGTGGTGGTGGCAGAGGAGGGCTCTCGACTCAACCAGTACCATCTTATCGGACAGACAGCTGGGACCGAGGACATAAACACCAGTAGAGGTAAACCAGTACACACAGTCACACGGCCACTGTCGTCTATCAGTATTGTTTTATTGTGAATATTCACACAGAACTAAATCTTCTCCCCTTATACTAGTTTACATACACAGACTAGTTACAGAATTCATGAAGCTTCTTGGATGAATGTGGGACTACATCGGCATGATCTCTCGTTTCTCTGTGGTGATGAGCTTTACTATAGCCACAGCTGCCCTAGGGCTGACAGCCTCTTCAACAGCACAGACACTTTATTTGTGCACAGTAATACTATATCTGATTTTGGAAAAGCCTCACTTGGATGTCACTGGATTTTTCCCTCCCTTCCTGCTCTCTCTCCAGCTAAGCCCAGATATTCTCCCTGTCATCACTCTGTGTCCCATCCCGAGATGCTGTGCGAAGGAAATGTTTTCAAATCAAGCTGGATAGAGACAATGAATGAGGATTTGAGGAGGCCTCCCACACATCGCCAGCTGTCTAAAGTCGAGATGGAAGAGAGAAAAAAATCACTCATCTATGGTCTGAGCCATTGGGCCTGTAGAGTTAATCCACCCATCGCAGTTGTGCTTTTACCGAGTGACGTCACTATGCTCTGATTGGTCGGGTACTGGTGACACGTGGGGCCCGGGCGGCATCTGCTTAATTCTGTTATGTAAAGAACTATGATAATACATTTGCACTGGGACCTTATGAGTATATGACTGGGGAGGTCCTCCATATCTGTAATGTATACTGGGATATGGCTTTATCCCATATCAGCCAGGAATAGACTGGATAATGTACAAGAACTAAACATTATAGCACGCTGCTTTAAAACCTCAGCTGACTGGAGTAAATCCACTCGTGCTGCACATTCAATCCAATAGAAAGGCTCAACAAGTTGCACTATAGGATTCAGAGTTATATCTTAAATATGTGATATCGTAATTAAAATGGCCATGACTCTCCAATACAGGCCTCTAATACAAATGTAGTTGTTGTGTTGTTCTGAAATTTCATTTTTGATTAATCAAAATAATTTAAATAGTTGTGATATTCTAAAGGTGTTCTAAAGTTGTTGAAATTCTAAAGGTGTCTTTTAAAACATTATTTTGGAAAATTGATACACTTTTATATTTGTAATTTCCCTGATATTAGATTACCTATAAGTGTATAAATAATTCCTTGTGCAAGTTTTGATATTGATTATTCAAAATGGTATGTTTTTAAAAAACACTTTTATAATTGCATTACATTTTAGCAGCAGGTTCAATGTCTCAGTGGAGGTGGGTGGACACACCAAGCTAACATGGCCTTAATTAGCATTGCTAATCTGAGGTACAAACCCTCCTTAACAAGCCAGGAATAGATCAGGCTAGTGCTCACAGCAGCTATACCTGGCCTTTGACCTTTCAGGTTGAGCTGGAGCGAATGACAATATGGACATAGGAAGTGAACAGAAATGCTAAGCTAACAGTGGTACTTCACACACTACGGATAAAGAATCAACAGATGGTCAAGAACATGGACTTACCAGTTCACTAACATAGCAGCGTTGTTCTCTGCTATGAACGGAAGCTCCCCGCACACGCTCCAAAAGCCCAGCAGTAAAATCCACCACAGCCGCCGCATCTTTCCTCAGGACAGTCCCAAGAGTCCCATCCAGGTCTGGGGCAGGCCCTCAGAATTGGCACCACAGATCAAGGCAGCTAACCATTCGCCCCGAGAGAGCGTCTGTCCCTCGCATTAAGGACATGTTGCTTTAGTCCCAAACAGAAAATCCCAAATAAAGTTTTCCTCTGCAGTGCCCAGGGTCAGCCCCCCTCCGCTCCGATCATCTGTGCACCTGTAATCAGCGCTTGTCCTGCTCCTGTTTTTAGTGTTTCAAGCAAAAGGATGTATGTCCCAATCAAGCGTGGCCTGGCCTGACATAATGGGACGAGGAAAGAGGCAGAGAGAGAGCGGGAGGAAGCGAGAGAGCTACAGGATGCAGATTGTGACAAGGGATTAGTGAGACAGAAAAATCGGATTTTGCCAGGAGAAAGCAGCAGTCATCTGTGGATTTTCTATAGTTTATCAGTACTCCATGGCTCGACAGGATTTTTGAGTAAAAATCCTTCAAATGCAATCTTCACTTTAACAAGATATTTTTTAACATAAACCAGTTTTTAGATATTTTGGGCATTCATATTTTGTGTCAATAAAGTTGTTGGGTTCATGATTTACAACAGTAGTTAAAAGACAAAAACAACTTAATGTTACAATGCAGGTTAAGTATATATGTTAACACTGACTACACAGACTGTTTATTCATCTAAGCTGTGGTTCCCACTCTGAGGCTCATGTGCAACTGGTGGTACACCAGCTCCCTCCCATGGTACATGTACATCACTGTTTTGTCATTCACATCACACTAGATTGTATAAGAGGACGTTTTATTGTGTCTTTTTTAACAAAATGTTTGAGATAACCCTCAACTGTACAAAGAACATTCATCTTCACATAAAGATTTTTATTAAAAAGTAGTACCAAAAATGTTATGTTTACTAATTTGACATGTTTTCGGTTCACACTACATTATCGAAAGCCATATTCAATTTAAATATTCAATTTAATGCTGTTTAGGCATGGCGTTATCTAGGACTGAAACTCTATTGGATTTTTCTTGGGTTTATAAATGAATGCATATTTTTAAATAACATCTCTCCTTGTTTTATCTTCAGGACGGTATACAGTGATGATGGCTCACTTCTACCTGAAGAGGAAGATTGGTTACTTTGTGATCCAGACCTATATGCCCTGCTTCATGACCGTCATTCTGTCCCAGGTCTCATTTTGGCTCAACCGTGAGTCCGTCCCGGCACGCACAGTCTTTGGTCAGTCTTTTATTCTTCATATCTTTCTCATATTCTCTTATTTTATGAATGTGCCTGAGTTCCTAGAAACAGTGAGGAGAACGCAGAGTGGATAGTGGCTAATGCTAATGCTTGCATGTATATCCTGATGTTATAATGCGCTGTAATGTGTTGGGCTTTAATCTGAGAGAGTGGAGACCAGAGGAAGCCTGACCTACTTCCCCTACTTACTGTAGGTGTGACCACTGTGCTGACCATGACCACTCTGAGCATCAGCGCACGAAACTCCCTCCCCAAAGTGGCCTACGCTACAGCCATGGACTGGTTCATTGCCGTGTGTTACGCTTTTGTCTTCTCTGCGCTCATCGAGTTTGCCACAGTCAACTACTTCACAAAGAGGAGCTGGGCCTGGGACGGCAAGAAGGCTATGGAGGCACAGCAGCCCAAGGTACAACCTGATGACGCTTTATGTGCCATAAAGTAAACGCTTCAACATAACATAAAAGAGAGCATAAGCGACACAGATCATAAGAGGCATCAAATAACTAAAGGCTAGTAAATAGTAATGTGTCAGTGAAAAGAGGTGTATTTTATACACATATATACACATCACCGGTCCAGTTTAAGATCTCTACTGCCACAAAACAAGTGCTGTAAAAAACTGACTTATTGAGGGATGTTTTCCTGGTGATAGTGGCCTTTACATTATAATATTGAAATGTTTCCTTTCTCCACAGAAAAAGGACCATCTGGCTTTGTCAAAGAAACCCAACAACACCTGTTCGACTGGAGTGAACTACACAGCCAACCTGACAAAGGACGCCTCCATCTCCACCATCTCCAACAGCACAGCAGTCCAGCTCAAACCCACTGAGTCCAAGGCCCCTGACCCCAAAAAGACTTACAACAGCGTCAGCAAGATTGACAAGATGTCCCGGATAGTGTTCCCCGTCCTGTTTGGGACCTTTAACCTGGTCTACTGGGCCACATATTTGAATCGGGAGCCCGTCATCAAAGGAGCTGTGTAAAATGCAGCTTAAAAGTGATCAGAATTCAATCTGGTGCCAAGCACTTACAGTAGTCATAGAGTTTTATAGGAACTGTCTGTTTCATTGCATGTGTAACGCTCTGAGAACGGTCGCCATGTTTGCCTTGAGTTTGTATATTTTACTGATTCCGTTTAATCCACTAAAAATAGGTTCAGCAAATTAATGATTTACAACCCCATATATGACAAGTTGGGATGTTCACTGAACTGTTGTAAAAAAGAGAACACAATGATTTGTAAATTTACTTGTAGCTTTTCTAGTATTTATTTTTGCTCCTCAATTGTTTCAGATGTGAAACCATGAAATAGAAATTAACCATGATTTTTCCTACACTATTCTTCATTGTGAGTAACTTGAACATTGAAAATTTGCATATCATTGTATCCTGTTTTTCTGCCTCTCAGCATCTTGGCATTTGGTATTTACATTTCTTAAATAATTGGTTAGATTGTACAGCGAGGCCAAATGCTATGCAGAACACTAAAACTCAAGCTTAAACTCCAACCCGGCTTTTATCTTTGTATCATGTACTTGTAACGTATGTGTTTTTGTACAAACTGGAGGCTGGAGGTCTGGCTGTGCTTGGACCATGGCATGTGGGACTTCCTTGTCAAAAGCAGCAGAGATAACAAAATAGCCATGCTTAAAATGTGTTGCCTTCAGAGTGTGAGAACTCATTATGAATGCACTGAAATCTCCAGCAATTACTTTTTCAGAAGCCAATTCATAATCTATATTCCCTTTTTATTGTACAACAGCTAGGATACCATGTTATTTTATATTGATGGAAAATAAGGGACTGTATGTATGTAATTTAATGTATATAGGACCATCTCTTAGATGAGCACCATAAGGCCAGTAAGTTTTGCTTGTGTCTCGCAAACGCAGCCGCAGTGTAACTCAGTCCAGTGCTTCATTGATGGATGTTGAGACATGAGTATTATCGCTTGAGCTTTCGCAAATTTGATGGTAAATGTTGTTTTTTAAGAGCTTTGAAAATATCATATTTATTTGACATACTTTTGTTTAGTATAATGAAACTTTATTTCTATCCTTATTTGTAACAATTAGTATCCATATGTATCATTTTAAAAACTGCATGTATTATTTTGACAGGAAAAAACATGATAGTGCTCAAGCTAGCAATTCTGTAGCTTACTTTAGCTTAGCATAAAGCAAATGTCTGTATGGATGTCATAGAGCCTTTTTATAGGGCCACTTTTAGTGTGTGACACATATTAGATTAGATAATTAGCGTTTGCCACCAGAGATCACATGTGCATGAAGCATAACCACACTCTTTTTGTTGAGAATCTTTTTGTCGCCTTTTGTTGATTTGAAAGAATCAATGTGACTAACATTTCTCCTTGCAGATCAGAAGTGAATGACTCTGAGATTCTAGGTTATTAGCTCCGTTCAGATTATTTCAAAATATGTTTGTGTCATGTTCAAAAGTGTAAAGTCTTTTAGATTAACTAAGTACAAAAAGGGAGTCGCAAAGGAAAATGTATAATTTTGGTTTACAATAATGATAAGGCACTGGTCCGACAGTTTCAGTTTGCTCCCTTGTACAAATTAATGGGAAAGAGGGCTACTTTGTATACTAATTATTATGCTAAGCTAAAGTGACTTGCTAGCTTCTGTTGTGTTGAGTCTACTTTAAAATATATTTCAGACCCGCATGATATTTTCAATAAAATAGCTTCTATTGAACTTAACCCTCTCTCTCCGTGGCCTGCCACTATTTATACAACATTATAGTGTTATGGCATTAATACATTGGTTTGATTTTATGAACGAGCTGTCTTAAATGCAATGATCTAAAGCAATAATGCCCATTTGAATGATAACTTGTGTTTTTAGAGTCAGTATTCTAACTTTTTCATGAGAAGTCCAACTTGGTGATTGTCTTTTCTATGTACTCCACATTAGACAGTATTGAGTTGTGCTTTCTTGAGGGATGCTGCTTTCTTATTCATTGTTTTAGTCCTTTTTTGGGTTCACCCAGTATTGAAATACATTTTTTCTCTACATTGTTTAATTGTTTTACATTGTTTCTGCATACTAGACTTCAAATAAAGCTTCATCATCATTTGTCTTCTCTGTGAAATGAATTATTTCAAAGTGGAAAGTAATTGCAATATAGGCACAAAAAGTACTTTCCAGTTACATGTGATTAAACTGCATGGTGGTACTACTACAAGTATCTTTTGTTTAAGTAAAGAAAGATTATAGTGGTGGAACAAGTTTTAGTAGTAGCATGAATAATCAGCCCTATATACAGAGTAAAATCCCTGATGCCTCATGTCTGTGTACTCTTGCTGTGTATTTCATGTAGTACAAGGCAGGCTGATGGAGTCTCTGCAGTCGCGATAAAACTCAAAAACATTAATCTCGGTTGATGGGACAGTGGTGGTCGGTTTCACGTGCTGCTGTTGTTTGATTACACACACATACATACACACACATACACAAACATACACAAACATACACACACTCGCACACACGCACACACAGCTCCTATCTGCCCCAGTCCAGCTCAGGATCCTCTGCAGCCCTGACATCTGGCTCACATCTGTTTGTAAGGATTTAGCTCCATTTAAGTTGCTTTTTCCATTGAGCGGGTCCATATACTCTACACTAAATTAAGCTGACACTGATGCCTCCAAATGACATCAATCACAGAGGGGAAAGAAGAGCAGACAAGCACTAAAGAGGCTGGGACAGTGCCATGGTGTGTGTAAGAGATGGAGTGCACTCTGGCAGACCACTGCAAGAAGAGTCATTTTTTTTAAAAAGTAGATAAACAGAAAATATTTACAACACCCCCTAATATTAAGGGCAAAGTTCACCTTTAAATAGTATTGTGTATCAGTACATTTTATGAGAGGGTATAAGATTCATGCTGTGGCATCCTGGCACCAAGCATCTTTGTCTGTCATTTTACAAAGACAAGCTCACGTTTTATATACATTTTCATTTACTGTTGCAAAGAGATAATAATTAAATATGTATAAGAACAACAGAGTGAAACAATACACTACCTGAGAGCCTAAATTCAATCAGTTTCTGAGCTGAGTCCTGATACTTCTTCAGAATCCACATACACTCATACACTGTTTACTGATGCTGCTGGGTCGGCACTTTCAGCGTAAGTACACATTGATTTATACATGATGACCTCTGCTGAAAAAAAAAAAAAAATGGCCCTGCAACTATTTGACCCACTGAACTACTGTTCCTTTGTGCGTGGATGGAGTGCCTGCATAAAATAACTGGTAATACTCTTACACAATCTGTAAGCTACGCATTTTATTAAATTTTTAATTTTTTAAAGTAAAATGAGTAGATATTATGTGTAGGTGTCACAAAGCAAATAATTCTTAAAATGTCTAAGAGTTAGTAATTGAGGTGTGATATACATTTGAATAATTCTGACATATATTTGCATTAATTAAGACAATATAATGCATGCCTCATCTTATCTGGAATCTATAACATCAAAAGACTAAAATAAATGAATAAATAAACAAATAAATAAATAAATAGTGTTTAATTGTACATTTCCCTGACCAGCAGAGGGCGTCCGCGGTCAGCTACAAAAAGGGAACTCTCTGAACACAGAGCAACCACCTGTGGCTCAGCGGGTTTCACTGAGGAAACTTAACAAATAAAAGATAAAGATAGATTTAAATTATAACTTTAAAAAAAAATTATATATATATATATATATATATATATATATATATATATATATATATATATATATATATATATATATATATATATATATATATAGATAGATAGATAGATAGATAGATAGATAGATAGAAGTCAAGTTGACCTAGGGTATATATAAAATATTCAGATTAAATATTGCCATTAAATTCTTATTTTAGCCGGTGGGTGGGTCTATTTGTTTGTTGTGTTGTATCTTCTTTATTCCTTTACTTGCTCATATTTTCCCAACACTTTTCTGTACCATAATTTAGAAACATACTGGACTGTACACTCAAAAAATCTAAAATGGTCACGCTTTGTTTGAACAATACAACCCATAATTTGCAACAACTTGTCAATTCCAAAATCGTGAACACATGGGCATGGCTTTCCCCTGGTCATGAGGAACTGTGAGAAAGATTGAGTTAATTTGCACTGTGACTATAGCCTTAATGACAGGCAATTTATGATTTACACAGCTTGGAAATTGAACCTTGCTATGAAATAATTCCTTTACGCACTGCTCCCGTATATATGTCACAGCACTAAACTACTCTTGTCATGCTATCCTTGTGTTTTTCTCGAAGCTCAAGCCCTGCAGGTGGGGCGGAGAGCACCAGTCCACCTCCGTGTGACCTTCCCTTGGACCCGCTCTGATTCATGTCTCCTAGATTCGCCACATCTTTCCTTCACACCTCCTCCAAAATGGTGCCTTTTTTAAAACATAAATCTTACATTTTCAGCGAGCGCTCACCTGTGAATGACCCCACTGATGGTTATGGCTTTGGCTCTGTGTGACAAATGCTTGTACAGTAACCAGCTATCTGTCCAGGTGCATTATGGGACTGTCGAGCCCAACACAGAGATGACACACTAACATTTCAACATGTGGTTAACCATTGTTGCTGCACGCTTTGGTCGCGTTATAGAAGGGCATTTCGTTTCAGATACTCTTCAATATTTAAAAGTGAGATAGTTCTTTCGTTTTTTAGCAACAAGAAAAAATGGTAGTTGTAAAAAAAGGAGATTTATTGGTTAAACACGCTTAACCTAGTAACAAGATGTCCAGTCCTATCTAATCAACACATGCTAATACTTGTTTTACAGTAAATGTCTGAAGGGAGACAGTGGAGTGACGTCGCCTCGAGATGAATTGGAGGCTCACTCCGCGCGCACCTGCGTAAAGAGCAGCACTGTCCGCTCCCGAGGACCACAACTCTGTTCAGGATTGCCTATTTATTTCTTTTCGCACTCTGAGGATATTTCCAAACCCAGATTTCTTCAATGACTCAAATTTATGCTGGATTACAAACTATGGCGCTCTCTGAGCTCGGGTTTCCCAGTCAGCCGCTGTGACCACCGTCTCCAGAGCTTCGTCGTCTGACTCTTACCAGCCAAACAACATGCCATCCCCAATATTGCCTTATGTTTTACTCCTGTGGCTTCTACCATCACGGTAAGTTACCCTAAACATGCCTAGATAAGTTTAAACAACTCATATTATCAACTTCGTGTCTTGATTTTCTTGCGTAAACTTCTCTTTTTGTGCGTAACGGAGGACTTCTTCACCGTATTTACACGTGTTCGTATTATTTTGTAACTTTTATATTTCTGGTTTAGTTGTTTAATGATGGAGTACGAGGAGGACTATGAGGATGTAACCGTGAATCAAATGCTGGCTCCCAGATCACAACAATCAGACGCCACGGAAATACTTAATCATTTACTGAAGGAATACGACAAGAAATTGCGGCCAGACATTGGAGGTAAGGTTCAATTGGACCTTTTTATCCTATTATTTAGTGATAGTAGAGCAATGTGTTGGGCACTTGGACATGGAGTGTGGAGCATAACATTTTCAAGGTACTATATCTGGGGAAAAATAGACACACAAGCAAATAGTTCATAATGTTATTTGTTTATAAAGCGTATATATTTGTTTTTCTGAAATCAAATTTGCTCACCATGTTATTTTCTTGCTGACACATCTTTGGTGTGCATTTCCCCCCTTTATTCCTACATCATAAAACACATAAAAATTCATATCCTTTAGGGGCTGTACTGGACATGCTGTAACCCTATATGTGACATGTAATTTTCTCCTGTGCACAAAGTCCGATTGCTTTTTATATGGTACAGTATGCAGGTGTGTGCTTGGACCTAACAAAGGAGAAGAGAAGGCTATCCCTGTTGTACTTGTTTTTGTAGCCTTGTAACTAGGGTCTCCATACTGGATGAAAACAATTTAGAAAGGGTTGCCAGATTATTCCCAAAAAAAGATAAAAAGTCTCCAAATAACACAATAAGCTTCCTCCTGTTGGTCTTATTTTGAAGTATTTATGTAGTTTAGACCTCGATAAATAAGTTATGAAATGCTAAACTATTAGGATTTACCCCAAATATCCATGTAACTTTTCTGGTAGAAGGTCTGCCTCCTGCCTGTTTCCTTGATTTATCTAAAATGTTCCACAGTAGTGTATTAATCTTTTGCATCTCCATGGAGACAGTCATTATGGAAACATCACCCCACCCTCTCACCAGAAAAGTTACATAATGTACCGCTAGTGAGTGCCAGCAGTGTGCAAAAATATCAAAATATCAATAAATTGTGTCATTTAATGTGCTGATACAGTATCGATATTGTGGGCTGCTGTATAGATACATCGCCAAGAGTATTTTTTTGAGTATTTTACATCTCATATTTTGTTACAGTGATACAGTTTTGTTGCTTAGTTTATTGAAAGGAAACTCATTTATGCGACCCATTTGACATTTTCATTGTTTTTATGATTAAAATGTTTGCGATTCATATTCTCTTTGCACAAGAAGTGGTTTAACAAAGACTTTTAGAAAACAGCCATGATTTAGACTTTATTTTTTATTGAACAGTATCGAATCAATTTGAAATATATCGTATCGAACCGAAAGCTCACTGAGATATGCATCGTATTGTGGCCTATGTATCAAGGTATTTATCATATTGGAAACTTCTTAATGATACCCAGCCCTAGTGAGTGCCATTGCATTTTGTTCTATCTAGACCTGTTTCCTATAGATTCCTGTACACAAAAAGGTAATTTTCACTATAAAACATAGAACAGGTAAAAAAACCCAAAAAAAACAAAAAGCTGTATTTTGGAAAACCCTCTGGTGATCTGTGCTCTGAGATGGCACGTTCTACAGATTAGCCCTTGATATCACTCTTGTGCCACCTTAATGGATTGATCAGCTCTTGATCTAGCCCCTGCTTTTTCCATTCAAACTCACAGGTAGACAAGCGATATATAAATTGGACAGTTTACTAATATGCATGTTTAGATTTGAACTTGTGCATTTTATATTTTATTGGTGATTATGTGATTTGTGACAGTTGTATCAGCTATATGCATTTTCATAGTTTGTATTAGTTACATTTACTTTAGTTTGTATCTTCCACTGTTTATCTGTCAAAGGGCATAATTTCTTTTCACTGCTCCACAGCACAATTTAAATGTGTAAAAGTAGTCAGCTGTGACTTTGAAACACTAAGCTCCTGGTTTATAAAAAAGAAAACAACTGATTTGATTGCACCAGTCCAATAGTGCTGTCATTTGGAAGAGACTTAAATAGGCAAGGACAATTTAGTGAATTTCAACATTAATAGCTCTGGAGCAGTAACTGACTGAAGTGAAACATGACATGGGACTCTTATTCAGATCTTGAGCACTAGGTTCGTGGTTATAGAGTACCTTGTTGGAGGATTAGCCTTTAATAATGGACCAATCGGATACTGGTATCTAGGGATGTAACAATATTTCAAATCTCACGGTATGATATTTTTTGTGATATTTTGTGGAGGCTAACAAAACTGGGAACATGTGACTTTTTCCTCTTAAAATGCCTTGACAAGACCTAATTCAAAAACATTTATTTCTTCATGTAGTTTGCACCAAAATGGAGCAAAGGATCATGGTCCATGTAGTTTTCTTTAACTATTGCTGCACCATAACAATGACTTTGAGCAAAGAAATTTCGATATGTGTCCACAATATTATTGAGAGACTTTTGATGATATAATATCACGATATTTTGTTTATTGTTACACCCCTACTGGTATCAGATATTGGTGCCGATACTAAAAAATTTGCTAGATCGGATATAGTCAGCCCAGAAAATCTCAGATTGTTTGAACTCTATTTATACAAAGTTGTTTTATAGTTAGTAGGGGTGTAACGATATCAAAGTCTCATGATACAATATTGTCACGGTATGAACCTCGCGGTATGATATTTATTGTGATATTGTGGGAAAGCTCACGATATGGTGGGGAGGCTCACGATTAGGCATGTAACAATATCCAAATCTCTCGGTACAATATTTCACGAGGTACGTCTGACTGTACGATATTTATTGTGATATTTTGTGGAGGCTAATATGCAACTTTTTCATCTTAAAATGCCTTGACAAGACTTAATTCAAAGAACTATGATTTAAAAGTGCTTAGAACTTCTTCATGTAATCTACACTACAATGGAGCAATGGATCATGGTCTATGTAGTTCCTTCTGTCTTTTTTGAGCTATTGCTGCACCATAATTCTTCATTTAAGCAAAGAGACTTGTAATTCGATATATTGTGATGGTCCACGATGTTATTGTGAGAACTTTGACGATTCAATATCACGATATTTCAGTTGTTACATCCCTAGTAGTTAGTTGAGAGATGGATAACGGCTTATTTTAAGGAAATATATGCTGTTAACATCAGGTATAGGCAGATATTTAAAGCTATAGTACTCGAAATCAGTATCAGCACTGAAAAAGCTGGATCGCAGCTATTAGCCTATACATGCTTTCATTGTTTTTGCAGACTAGATGTAAATTCCCACATCATCTGGGAATTGAACCCAAGACCTTCAAAATAAAGTTGGCCTCGTAGCACTTCACTCAATTAAACAGGACTTGGACCCCAAATACGCCTGTCCTCTTTCTGTTCCCTCTTTTAGTTTTTACAGTGACTATGTGTGAAGCTAATAAACATGTGACCTTTTTAGTGTCCAGCCGATCATCCATCTCTCTCCCTCACACTCATTATTCTTGTAGCACACATACATCTCCATGGTCTCTCTGCTAAAGCTAATACTAAACTAACTCCTGCGGCTGGATTGTAACAAAGCATGATAAATCGGGCTGGGGACAATTACCCTTTTTCCCAAATCCCCCAGCTCTGGAGCAACGATAAGTACATTAGAAAGCTATTTGTTGTGAGGCGTGCTTCTTTGATGGGCCATAGCTGTGGAGGGTTTTGACCTTGTCCTCTTTAGTGTTTGTGGATGGGGCAGTAGGAGGAGATGGTCTGAGTCTGACAACAGTATTACTCAGTGCTCTGGATCATAAGGCTAATTTATGGTTATGTTAAATGACAGAACATAAAGCTGAGTGGTGTCAAGGTGCATATAGGATGGTGGTCATTAAAAAATCATATTGTATCAGGCATAATGTGGAAATAATAGCACTTCTTTATAATGCTCTTTTACACAGATTTAGAAAGGTCTTGGGGGTAAATGCGCTTATCTATTCAACCACATGTGTTTCTTTACGTATTGCATGGTTGGCCCTATCTTGCAATGATAAATCTTAGGTCTCCACATACTTGTCTCCATGGAAATCTTTTGTTCCTTTGTCCATAATATTCCATAGTAAAGCATAAAATGTATCTGTCTCCATGGAGAATGTTTCCAAAGGGAACCAGGTGAAAAGGCATGTTGGCTGGAAAGTCCCCCTGAATTGTACCCATCATGAAACCAAGTTAGTTAATCTATATACATATTAAAAAAACAAAAAAACATGTTTTGCCATTATATATTGTCATTATATATTGTACACACAATATATCTCAACACATTTGTTCATACATACAAAAAAAAAAGAAACATGCAAAAATTATGTGGTCTCAACTGTGCTGCAACTATTTTTTTCAAATTCTGGAGTTTCTTGTGTTGCGCTGCTTACAAATTATGTTCATGGCAGGTAAAGAAATAATTAATATTTCATCTCAAATCAACAGTTACAGATGCTATAGGACATGGGGAACAAGAATTTTATTTTTATTTTTTTTAAATACGATTTCATAGTGAACTTCTGCTAGGAAATGAGGATTATATTGATATTACAGACTGAAAAGATGTGTGCCGCTTCAGGAAGATCGGTAAAATGACAGAAACAAGGCCCAACATTTGGTCTCGCTATACTGTATTCACATTTTATTTTATTATGATATAGAATGTTCATTTTGTAACTCAATACATCACAGTGCGTGACGCGGCCGACTAAAGGCCAGCGAGAACATCCCCCCTCTCCCAGGCACAGCAGTTACCCGAGTGCCGCGCAAGAGAAGGGAGCATCCAGAGGAAGGAGGGGGACGTTCAAGCCAAGAGGGTGGGACGTTTGAGCTGGGACTTTCAAGCCAAGGGGATGTTCGAGCTGGTATTCTTTCTGAAGTATGGCTTTAACTTTCATATTCATCTATTAGAGCCTAGTCACAATTTGGTTCAAGCTAAAGGTTCAAGCTTTTCACATATTTGGATTGCTTTCTTTAACTCTAAAACCAATGAGCTTCTTCTGAGAGTTGGTACTTCAAATTTGCCTGTCACTCATTTGATGTATGGCAAAAGAGCTATATTAAACCAGAAAACACAAGTCTTTCTTTGGCCCGTTTTACTGTGTCTACTATGATGGTGTAACAAAGTGGGACATGATAGTTTTAAATGCACTAAATACAAATAACTT